TTGACAAATTAACATACAACAAATGCTGGCGAAGATGTGGAGAAAAGGGAACCCTAGCACACTGTTGGTAGGAATGCAGACTGGTGCAGCCACTTGGGAAGACAGTCTGGAATTTCCTCAAAAAACTAAAAATGGAACTGCCGTTTGACCTTGCAATTCCACTGCTGGGATAATACTGTAAGAATCCTCAAACACCAATTAAAAGAACCTATGCTCCGCTATATTCATAGCAGCTTTATTTACAATAACCAAGTGCTGGAAACAGTCTAACTGCCCATCAGTAAATGAGTGGATCAAAAACTGTGATACATTTACACAATGGAATACTACACTGCAGAAAGAAAGAAGGAACTCCTACCTTTTGTGACAGCATAGATGGACCTGAAGAGTATTATGCTACATGAATAAGCTAATCATTGAAAAGACTAATTAATACCATATGATCTCACCTCTGAGAGGAATCTAATGGACAAAACAAACAAGCAAAATAGAAGCAGAGGCATGGAAAGAAGGAACAGACCTACAGTGACCATATGGGATGGGGAAGGGAGATAAATTGGAAAAGAAGGGTGAGGGTCTAATCAATAAACAGGTATAAATGACCCACGGACATGGACAACAGGATGAGGATTGACTGTGGGAGTGGGGGGTGGGTGGAGCAAGGGAGAGCAATGGGGGAGATTGGGACAACTGTAACAAAACAAAAACAAAGAAAAAAAGAAAAGTAAAAAAGTTAACTTGGTTAATGTTGGAGTGAGGGCAGTAGAAGGACAGCCATTCTTAGACATTGCTGATGAGGTATAAATTCATGCAATCTCTTGAGCAGGTACTATAATTTGGTAATGTCAAAAAGTTTAAAAATGCTCCTACTTCCTTACCCAATGATTTTATTTTTAAGATTCTACTTCAAGGAAATTCTGACAAATGTTGACAAGGTTTATGCATGAAAATGTTCATCCCATGCTATACTATATAAAAATATAGGAAAGTACTAAGTGCTTAATGTTAGTGGATAATGGTTAAGTAAATTACAGCCCATGAAATGAATATAATGTAGTTCTTAGAATTTAAAATGTATGTATTGTGTTATTTATCTGAGTATTTTATATTCATTTGCTCATTGAAACCTCACTACAATGGTACTGGATATATTTCCTTGGCCCTTCCAGGTGCACCCACAACTGTTCTCTAGCTTGTTCTGCCCCCTGTTGCTTAACCTGCAAGGACTGCATCAACAGGCTCCCTTGTCTATAGCTTCTTGCTAGGTTAGGTCAATGGAGAGGACCAGCAAGAGATTGGAGGAAGGAAGGGAGGAGAGGGACATTGGATATTTATTTTTCCTGGCTCACTCTCTCAGGGTGTCCTGTGGGCTGACTGCCTCTCCAAACTAAAGGTCACAGCTTATATCAGGCAGCTCTGCAACCCTTTCCAATAACCTCTGTTTTCAGGTTCTGATTACTGCTCTCTCCTTATAGTTGTGCTTTCTTGCTGTCACCAGTCTAGATAACAGATGATTCTTTGTGGTTTTTCTTAATTTTGCCCATATCTTTTAATATACTTTCTTTATGATAACTCTCTTTAAATAATCTATAATTTACTGTTTCCTGCTGGAACTGATACAACAATTTATGAGATTGTATACTTAAGAGACAGGCAACAGAGAAGTTAAGTAATTTGCTCCAGGTCACACAAAGGAGGAAATAATACTTGTACAATATGTCACAATTATTGCTTGATTTACCTATTTTAAGATAACTTTTATTCTTTTTATTATAAAAGTCATACAAAATATACAATATGAACAATAAAATGAAAAGAGAATATACTCATATTTCTTCCATCTATTCCACCCATCATTTATTTAATAAGACCCCCATATTTTTATCTCTAGCCAAATTCCTGCTTTGAATCTAAGGCCTACTCTATACCTTCATCTGGAAGTCTGAATGGCACTTGAAACTCTACATGTCCAAAAACATGCTCAAGATCTTCCAAATCCTAGCAAGTCCTACCAATTTTACATGTGAATGTCTCTAATATGTCCACCTCTCCCTGGTTCCGCTGCTGTCACCCACTATAGTCTAAGACACAGTTGCCTCCTCTTTGAAGAATTCCAGAATTTGGTTTCTCTGTATGTATTTACTCTTGTCCTCTTCAACCCATTATTCACATGGTAGGGAGACAAGCCTTTGCTAAATGCAATCTAGTCATATTGCTCCCTGCTTAATATCTTGCAGTGGCTTACATTCCTTTAGAATACACACAGAGATTGTGCTTTGGCCCAGCAGACCTCAGTACCTTTGTCTCTAGCTTCTTCCCTTACTATAGCTCCATTGGCTGGCTTTTAGCTACTCCAATGAACAATGCTTCTAGCTGCGCTTGTACCTTGCCTTTGCCCACATTGTTCCCTCTTTCTGGATTCATTTTTACACTCTTCTTCCCAAAGCTAACCTCCCTAACTCTTTGTTATCACTATGGACCTTTCCAACACAACATTGATTAGAGTTTGGGTTGACAATCAAGCATGTGTTTGTCAATCTCCTCTACTAGCTCCTCTAGAGACTGTATGATCAATGAAGGTCTCCATTTGCCTTGTGTTACCTGTGTATCCTCTGTACCTTACTCTGTGCCTACCATGTCCTCTGTACCTTTCCCTAGGCCTAGAACATATATGAAATCAAATATTTGAATGAAAAGAAAAGAGAACAGCTACAATAAGGAGAAATATGGACAGAATAGTATTTGAGAAGGCTGAATTGTTTTTTTATCCAGTATTTCTTCTTGTTCTGTTTCAATGTCCAACAAGATAAAAATGATATCTATTTAGCCATAAATTTCAACTCCCTTTCTAGATAAGAACTATTAAAACTGGATAAACAATTTATATTTCCTTAGTTTCTTCAACAAGATATTGTTTGATACAGAATGGGGTGAGGGGTGGGTGGAAGATATGTTTATAGGTGGGAACAGATGCTAGTTAACTTCCTAGAGTTCTCATTATTTACTTTGAATTCATGTCATAATTAGATCCATTTTTGAGGGTTTAGTGATGGCAAATTCACGTCTAGCTGGAACAAAGTAAAAAATTTAAGGAATAAAAGTATCACGAGAAGAGGCTGGCTGTACAATAATATATGAGCATTAAATATTCCCCTTTTCAGTAGGATGGGGAAACACGTGGTTTTTTTGTTTTGTATCTGCACCTTAGCCATCCCTTGATTTTCGCTTTTAAAGTACATATCCCACTTAATCTGTAATAGCTGAGTTCTTAATTTTCTCGCCTATTTCAATTTTGATTAAGCACTTCCGCTTGAAAAAAGTCATAAAAACCAACAATTGCCATGTCTCCCCCAAGTGACAGTTAACCACTTCACCCCTTCCCCTCTCTAGGTTCGGCGCGTGGCTGCTCAGACCTCACCCAGCCCCTTGTGACGTCATAAACGAACTAAACCAAGTGGAGGGGCGGGCCTGCGACTCTCCGATGTAAGTTCCCTTCGTTAAAGTACCCGATTCCTTAAGTCTACCTTGGAGCAGTCTCCTTTTAGTTAAAGCATAGGAATAAAAGCAAGAGGTTAAAACTGCCACCCCCACACTCTAACCCGGCCACTGCCATATCCCCCCTACCTTAGTAGCTTCGCCTGGCCACGTGACCACTCAGAACGCGAGAGCGCCCCAAGCATTCGAAGCGAGCTCTTGGGGAAGGCGGAGCCAGGCCTTAACAGCGCCTGTTTTCCCGGGTCTGGGCTCGGAGCGTGTCTGAGAGGCCAGCCCCCGTAGGGGAGGGGCAGAGGAGAGCAAAACGTAAACCTACAGCCTGCAGCAGGACTATGAGCTCAGATAACTCCGAGGCCTCACTGGGCGGAGGCAGCGGGAGTGGGCCAGAGGCAGAACCAGCGCCCGAAGTCGGGACCTATTCAGCCCAGATCCCGGCCCTGGCCTCCACGTCCGGGTCTAGTACGCAATCTGAGTGGCGGACCGTTTCTTATTTGTTTTCCAGCAACCAGTCTAACATTTCCACACCGGATGCGGACGACTCCTGGAGCTCCAGCTCGCCTTCCCAACTCAGTCCCAGTACTGGCCTAAGAACTGTAAACGACTCTAACCTCGGCCTCTGGGGCTTTCCCTCTTATGTCCTGACCAACCGGACCCTCACGTCGGGTACCGGCTCCAGCACCTCTGAGGAGGTTGCCCCCGACTCCATCCTGGACACCGACAACCTCCGAGTGTCAGTACCTGAACCTCCTACGACCAGTAACACCCCCCAAGGATCTGTACAAGGAGCCATCCAGCCCTTGATGCCTGGCTTACTCAGGGTATTGGTACCACTGACACCTCCTATACCCAGTAACACTCCTGAAATATTAGTGCCTGGATACTCGCATCCTTCATTGCTCAGCCCCTACTGGGATTCAGTGGAAGTACCTCTGACACCAAATAACACCCTCCAGGTGTCATTACCAGACTCCATCCAGCCCTCAGTAACCCGCTCCTCCCAAGTATCTATACACGGATCTGTCCCGTTTCCAGACTCCTCCATAGGGTCGATTCAGGGGTCCCCCCCGCCGTCAGTGCTTAGTACCCCACGGAGTTCGGTACAAGAACGGGTCATGCTCTTGGGCTCCTCGCTAGAGTTCATTCAGGGGTCCCCCCCACCCTCAGTGCACAACACCCCGCGGAGTTCCATACAAGAAATTGTCCTAGTCTATGGCTCTTCCCCGGGGTCGGTACAGGAGTCCGGCCCCCCTCCAGTGTCCCGCCTCCTCCGGCGTTCTGCACAAAAACCTCTTACGCCGGTGAACTCCTCCCTAATACTGGCACGAACGTCCACCCAGCGCTCAGGACTAGATACCCGTCCACGGCTGGTGGATGAATTGGATCCGCTCCAGGACTCTCCCCGGGTATCAATACAATTATCAGCTCCGCCCTCAGGGCAGGGCTCTGCCCCGCAATCCTTGGAAGAATCGGCTCCGCCCCCGGGCTCCTCCGGAGAGTTAGTAGCAGAGCCCGCCCCGCCCTTGGCCAGCCTCTCTTCTATAATTACACCGGGGGAGACTGTCAACCAGAGCAACCAGAGCATGGCGAGTCGAGAGAAGGCGAGCGTCTCGGGCCACATGTTCGACGTAGTCGTAATAGGAGGCGGCATTTCAGGTCAGTGTGAACCACAGCGGTAGCCTGAGAGACCCTGGTGGCACGGGAGTAGGAGATTTGCACTAGCTCCCGGGTGTTTGGGGAAGGGGGTGGTCTCTCGCATGCATTAAAGAGTGCGGAAGGGGGTGGTCTCTCGCATGCATTCGAGAGTGCAACAGTAGCCGCTCTGGCCCCAGCCTTAGCAGGGCAGGAATGGGGGTTGTGCCAATGTTGCTGATGCTGTGAACTGAGAGAGGCAGGAACAATAATTTATTACTACTATTTAATACTAACATTTAATTAGCTGTTGGTTGTGCAGTTATATTTAACACTTTATGTGGATTTTCTCCATCCTCAGCAGTCCTGACAAGTGGGTAATATATTCGCCTCCATTTTACAAAACCGAGAAACTGAGGTCTGGAGCATTTCGAGTCCAATCATCTAGCTGGCGAGTGTCTAAATGATTTTTTCCTATTTAAGATTCTCACTTCTAATTCCTGAGGTCGCTGCTTTGTCTCACTGATTTCAAGTCCTTTGCCCTAGGGCAAAGGACATCAGTACATGGATTTATGTAGTATTGATGTACTAATAGTGTTATTCCAGTCCTGCTCTTTTTAAAAAGCCTTTCTTTAGAAAATTTAGTAAGTGAAGAGGAAAGAGGAAGAATTGGTAAGGAAAAAGGTTCCAATATATGGCGACAGATGAAACGAATTTTGGTGGTGAGCACAATACAGTGTATACAGATATGAAATTATAATGTTGTATACCCAAAACATATAATATTATTAACCTTTGTAACCTCAATAAAAAAGAACACTACAAAAAGAAAAAGAGAGAGGGGTGGGCTTTTAGTTTTAACCTACCCCTAGTGCTTTTTTAGAACTCTAGGGAAGATGTAGGGCATTTATTGCCCAAAGGGAATCCCTTTGTGAAGCTGGAGTCAAGATCCAGTTAGGGCATGCCCTGTTGGGTCATTTAATAAGAGTTCCTGCAAGCCCCCAGATTTATGTCCTGGTAAGCCTGGGTTGCCCTGGTTCTGGCTTGGGTGTAGCTGACCAATGGAGTGGTACATGAAGCTTTTCAGGATCATCCCGGAAACCTCATCATGACTGATATATTAAATTGTCACTTATGTTGTCATAATTAATATAAATGTTTGAAATTTACAAATTGTGTTTTAGCCCTAGCTGGAATCCCACACTAATTTGTCCACAACCCAAGAGGGTATTAATAATTTCTGAAGTATACCTGCAGGATGTGACTTAGAAGTAGGGAGAAAGGCAAGAAGAGAGTAAGTAGGGTGGCCCTACAGTAGCCCTTTTAATGTATAATCCTTTTGAGAAGACTCTGAACATGTTTACAAATTAATTTTGTGTGAACATAGCTTTTTATTTGGACTGGTATAAGCTGTTGCTTTGGCAATTCCAGTCAGTGCCAGCAAAATCATGCATGTATGTTGGAACATCAGAAGAAAGTAGATCCTGTTGGAGAGTAAGAAAAAGAAGTATTTGCTTTGCTTCCATTCATTCCTTCACACACTCAACAAACACTCGTTGAGTGCCTGCAATGAAGTGGACTGGTATTTCCAAAAACCTAGAAACAATATGATTTTTGATTACTGGAAAATAAATATGATGATGTGTTGTATAAATTGATTAGGAGTTCCATCTCTTCTCCCATGTCCATACTTTTCACATTTTAATAATTCAGGGTTCTTTCTGGGATATTATTCCTGTGTTTTTCTTGTTCTATGTTCCTGTATTTCTTCAGGAGCATTTTGTCTTTAATTTTTCCTTTGCTTGATTACCTGTTCTTTCTCCCTTTCCACACATGAATTTATCATGCAGCTGATGACCCTTATGCTTTATGACCTTACAAATGCAGGTCCCTTTTTGTTCTCATTCTAAATAAATAACCAGCTTCATACTGAATCTTGTATTTGTAATTTTGCATTCTTTTTTCTTAAGGAGAGCACCCAAATTCTGTAAGCTTCAGGATCCTTAAAATCTGGATCTGTCCATGGTTGCTATTAATTATTAATTTTTTTGTTTCAATTTGGGGAAAGAAAAGGGAATTTCTTGCACAGGAGTTCACACACCTATTCCAAAAGCCAGCTTTCAATCTGTCAGTGACAATGGAAAAGGCACTGGGCTTCCTCTCATATCATCTCTATCAGTCAGATTCGAGTGATTTTAACACCAAAACTGACCTGAAACACTGCCTTATGACTGTAGCGTCTTCCCATATGGTTCATAGATGCAAGTCTGGCTCTGGATATACGTTGCACACAGACTGGGTGTTTCGTTAGTAAATGAGAGAGGCATTACGTCCTAAGGGTTCCTGAGAACTCAAACACATCTTTGTGTGTGTTTCGCAGTATCCCATGAGTGACTTAATAGTCCCTCTATCAGTTGTAAATGTTTTGGATGTTTCTTATAACTTTTGGAAGGACTGTACATTTTAGTATGTTACCCACACACTTAAAATATATGGCCAATATGTATTATCTGCAGTATTACTCCTATTATACAACAAAGTAGCTGCCAGAAGAGTACAAATTCTAAATGACTTTCCTCAAAATCAATTCCATATCAGCAGAATTATCTTTCATTTTGTGTATCTTTGCACTAAGAATAGCAAGATCTTTCTATAACTCCCTTTTGTCATTAAGATACATAAAACAGAGTATAGCTCACAGCCACAAAATCTCTTTTTCTGTCCACTCACCAATTAAATACTTTTATATAGTATGTTAGTAGTTGAGAGGGGGAAATCCCATGCTCGTTTGTAAGTAGCATACTGGTATCCTTTACATGCTCTGGCCCTTACCCATCAACCATCATCTATGATCAAGTCCTTTCTAAAAATCCTTTCATGTTTTCTGTGACATTATTAGATCTTGAGTTTTTTTCCCCACACTGATTGCTCCTTTTCTATTCCTTTAATTGTGCCCATATTATTGTGAAATTCTAGTTTTGAAGTGGCCTCAAGATTTAGCTGTTCATCACTTTTGAGCTCTTAGGCACTTTCCCCCTCTCTTATTCTAGGGCTTAAGCTTTCCCTTATCTACAGAAAGCTCTTAAGTCTCCAGTTTGAATCCTTTTCTTCCTTTGAACTCTTGTCACATAGCATATATGCTCCTGAATATTTCACACTTGAATGTCTTGTTCTTACTTCATATTTAACATGTATCAAAGCCTCCTTGCCCTCTGACCCAGCTTCTCTTCCTCACTTCCTTGACTCTCTTTTTGGCACTACCACCTTTCATCATTTTTGACACATCATTTTCTATAACATCTATATCCAGTCAACAGCTCCTGCTAGCTCCTTTCAGAATCTTCCTTTCCTCCATTCCCAGTCACACCTCTGTCCCTAGGACAGAAACTTGACACCTTCATCTCACTAGATTATGAGCATCTTCCAAGTGGCTACCCTTTACTTTGGGCTCTCCTTTCATTTCCATTCTGCAGTGTTCTCCCACACATGATTTTTTTAAAAACTTCTTTCATCACCTCGCTCTTCTGTGAGACCTTAATTGTCTATTACCAGCCCTTCAAGCTCCCCTCCATACCTCCAATTATCTGGCCCCACATTTTTGGACAAGTAGCATTTTCCACTATCCCGAACACTGACTTGAGCTTTAATCACTCTGCTATCTTGTCCTCATTGTTATATCAGGTTTATTTTATCCCTCTCTTTCTTCCCTGTTTTTGTTTTTTTTTAACATGGAAGTTCTTCTCTCTGACCATTTATATTTTATCTATTTTCCAATAACTGATTAAGGGTGCTTTCTTTGATCAGTTGGCTCCCCCTTGATTTTTCTCTCCTCTTGTAGAGCTTATAATCTATATCTAACAATTCACACTTACTTTCTATCTCTATTTCTTAATGTTATTTTCAGTATAATGGGTCAGTCCCTGACTTTAGATGCTATTTCTTACTCTTAAATTGATGCAAAGGTAACAAATGACAGAAACTCGGTGACATAAGATTTCAAAATCTGCTCTTAGCTGAGAATTTGTAAATTGGCCCTCCTTAGAAAGAGAGAAAAAAACCCACCACCAGGGGACGATACATACTTAGAGTCTTTGGGCAAAAGGGGGTTTTAAATGGCAGTTTATCTAGTCCAATCACCAAGAACTTGAATCCTCTGGATAGCATCTCCTTAGTGATTATCTGTCTGTAGCTTTGGACACATCTAGGAAAAGGAAATGCTCTATCCCTCAAAATAGCTCATTGTGAGCACAGGTGGCTCTGGTGCCTGGAGTTAGTCAAGCATTTTGGGAGCCTCTACCATATGCCAAGCACTGTCCAGATCACAAGGAAAGAGGTATTATATATAAAGATAAGTGAGTAGTATCCTGCCTTGTCCTTTTGTAAGAAGTTATCAAGTGAGAAAATAATAGACATTAATGCAGTGAGAGAAATATTGTTACAAATATGAACAAAGTGCTGGGACCTGGAAAGGGAAGTAGAACTTTAAACAGGTAGAGATAAGAGGATGATAAAAAATCCCTGGCTGGTGTGGCTCAGTGGATTGATTGCCAGCCTGGGAGCCAAAGGGTTGCTAGTTTGGTTCCCAGTGTGGGACACGTGCCTGGGTTTCACGCAAGGTCTCCAGTAAGGGGTGTGCGAGATGCAACCACATCATTAATGTTTCCCTCCCTTTTTTTCTCCCTCCCTTCCCTTTTATAAAAATAAAATAAATAAAATATTTTTTTAAAAAGAGGATGATAAAAAGATATACCAAACAGAAGAGACTGGAGGAGCGCAGATACTGAGTAATGAGACTGTAATCCATACATGGGCAATATTTAATTTAAGCCTATGGCAAGAGCTCCAGGGAAGGAAAATAGTTAGTTGCCTACTGTGCCTCTAGGGATGTGATCCTGGGGGCCATTGAAATCATGCCAGTGTGCCACATCTGCCCATGATTTTTGTGCCTGGGTTAGCTGTGGTTAGTGAGTGCACAGTGAAAACACTGTAGTCATAACACTGTATAGTCCTGGCTGATTAAAAAG